GAGCAGTGAAAATCATTAATGGGTAATCGTTCGATGGGCTGAATTGCACAAAGCGCATGATCGCACCGGCTTGTCTGGTGCGCGTTGCTATTTATTTTGTATTTGCCGATTTGTTTATTTAAAAGTTGTTTGAGATATTGTTCATAATTTGTTTGTGATTTAATAAAAATTAAACCGAAACTACAATCCAAACCACCACTTTATTTACTCCTTTTATAAGCTGCATGGCATGGGAGTAGCCGGAGTAGTTAGAATCGGACTTTCAAAATTCCCTTTTTCAAGACACTTGCTGTCTTGACATGCTTTCGTAGCAGTTTACTATCGAATGAGTTGAACGAATTAAAAAAGAACCGATTGTCCTGCAGGCGAAATCAAATTCCTCCCGTACTGTGTGACAGTATAGCATGTGTCTGTCAGAAAATAAATGTTTATAGCTTGAAATTAATAGAATTAGTAATTAAAATATTTTTTATAATGCGTTAAAATCCAATCTAATCCAAAAATTAATCCATAATTAATCCATTAATCCAAAAACCAATCCAAAAAAGTAAAATCCAAAAATTAAAATCCAATCTCAGCGTGGAACACAGAACATCTAGATGGTGTCTTTTGGGGAAGTTGGGTGACAGCTAAGTACTAAGAACTAATATACAGACACAAATAATTAAAAATGAGGCATTACTGCGAATGTTTCGGGATGATTGTTGCAGTTGCACTGCAGCTAACCAGTGTTTTATAGTAGTCATAGGCAATTTTAAGTAACTAAATGACTTTGGATGATTGAGTGCACCTAATATGAAGAATTAATACGGACTATTCATGTACTATAATAAATCAGTTATTAATCCATGACGTCCCAATAGTTTGCAACAGTCACTTCTTCAGTTTTAGACATTCAGAAAAGCCGGTTGTGAATAAAATAATGGAAGCCAGGTGCAGAATTTTTTTTTTTTCACTGAATTTTGTGTGTTTAATCCGAAAATGCGGCTCCAGGGACTACTCATTTCCACCTCTGGCAAGTTGGGGCGATTCGGCTGATGCAGCAAAAATAATCGAGGATGACGAAGAAGCCGCCTACGAAGAGAAAATGTCCATCAAACAGCTAGAAGCACGATTGGCTGGAATGGAAGTGAGCGATGCCGACTCAAAACTGCTCAACAAACTATGCGCCTTAGATATAACGTATGTTTTTTTTTGTTATGCATTGATGTAATTTACCACAGTGGTGAGGTCCAGTTGTGGTAATGATAAGAAATGTATACGACTTAATGAACCAAAACATTTCTTACCATTATAATAATTTTATTTAGATATTTTACAAAGTTTAATAATTTCTTAATGTTATTTGCTTTTTTCTTCCAATTTTTAAATATTTTTTTTGTTAATGTAATACCAATTTCACTGGGGCAGTCGGGGTGAACATCCCATGTTAGTGATGTCACAGAACGCTGGGCACAGCTATGCCAGCCTTTTTAATTCCTAGCTGTGTTTCTGTTGCCCGTT